TGATCCAAGATTCCCTTACACTATATCACTGCCACCATCCTGACTGTGCCGAGAACACCCGAAACAACTTTGCTGCACAAAATAAACACCAACTAATACATAAAACTTGTCTGTCAGACAAACTTACACATGCCCTTTATGTGGGACAAATTTACGCTCTTCAGTCCCCCGCGAGTGTACATCCAACAAGTGTACCTCTTGCTTGTTGTTTAACACTGAATTCTATATGACAGTGGTCTGTACATATACTGGACCAATCGATTGATTGGCATGATGAGGATCCACCTTCGCAATTGGTCGAACAAGTACCTTATAAAATGTTAATACAATAAGAGACTTAATTGTAACGTATAAAAGGGCAATGACTATTTTATCATGCAGTTTTATTGTTCAGTATATTACATAATTTGTTCATGCCTATGATTGCAATGTAAATCAAATTTAGTAGTTGTGATGTGAGCTGTTATCTTTTTATGTTCCGTCATTTCAAAAGTCATTACGTGCGAAGTAGAAGTATACTTTTTCTAATTTTCAGTATATATATCCCCATGTATGAGCTAACACAGTCAACAGTTTCCGGTAGAGGTACAAAGATCTACACCGTAACAAAGTAAGTATTTGTCATGCTTCTGTTATAGTTGCCAACACAATGTTTCAGTATAATGGAGTTGAACTTAAACATGGGAACGTCTGCATTTTACCTTACATTGCAAATTGGTTCAATCCATATCAATACAGAACTATACAAGTGTGTGACATGTACGTTTCAGCAAAAATATCTTCTCTCAGTCTTCGTTTGTTTGTTGTATGAATTAAACATATGCTTGCCTGCTAATGACTTTTGGGATGGATTAGTATGAACTGGCTCAGCCTCGAAGATGCATTCACATTACAACGCATCTTGGGAACAACAGAAACTACAATAAAAGCATGTGACTCACATACATTTCCATTAATGACAAGAAATGACAACGTTAGCTATATCCAATCTGATGGTCGCTTGAAGGTGTTGTTATCCCTTAGAACTGATGATAAATATTCCTAAAATCATCTGGAATTAAAGTCAATGGTCACCAGAACCTATTAGGTCTGTGGTAAGTGATCCTGCAAAGATAACTGCGTTGGTTCACAGTACTGGGCAACCAATGCGCCAGTGTCCTCAGGATCACTTGTATTTATGGCTAATCCCATTGTATATTCTAACGTCTATACCTGCTATACAGTCAAGTACATACATTCATTTTGTAGATGAAAAGCTTCATTATTGCTCTCCTCCTGCTTGGGGTTGTGGTCCAGCCGACAGAAGGAGGTTGGGGTGCAATCGCCTCGCTTGTGGCAACAGTTGGGACAACGCTGTTAACAAGTAAATAACTCTTAAGCACTTATTATTGTCGGAAAACCTTTTCCATGACCTTGAATGGCTATCAAAGGCTATTGGTTGTCACTTTATTTGTGCATTTATATTCTGATGTCGCGTTCGTGATTATACTATGTTAAGAATATTTCATATGTTTTACAAAGAAGGATCTCTTGTAATCAGAATAACTCATGTCACGGTAAATTATGGATTAAGTATGAGCTGATCCACGATCTTCACAAGTGATTCTTGATTTGAAGCAATGTAACTCCAAACATGTTTGGAACATCCAAACCTATTCATAACAAACATCACAAAAGAGTGTGACTATTTAGGTAAATTCTTCTTCCATCTACTTCATATCTGAATTAAAGTCAATACATGAGGAGACTTTTTTCTAAATTCATGGCAACCTTCATGCACTAAAGTTCAGGGATGAAAATATTAGTTATTCATTCGCACACCCATTAAAACAAAAAATACAAATGTGGAGAGGAACGTCTGCTCACGTAGCCGTTTTGACAGTCAGTTTGTGAGAACACATCGTTTACAATTTGTGGACACCTCGCTGAAACACACATATCATAGGAAGAGCTTAAACATCAAATTAATCCCTATACAATTCAGTTAATCAAGTGTCTTTTTAAATATATATGTAGTACAATGTATGCCTTCTTCTATTCCTCTTCTTTAAGCCACGATAAATCTGATTTCTAAACGTGGGGCTGAAGAAGTAGACTTGAATGGAGACGGGCAGCTTGATATGGCTGAACTGACACAAGAGTACGGGGCAGAGGGGGCGGAGGAACTCATGCATTTTGCTGACTCAAATGGTAACCCGTTTATGTATATTGATGGTCACTAGATTAATACAAATGCAACTTTCCTTATTTTCTGTTAAGACTCAAGAGAACCGTGAAGTAGTTTCCAAGATAATTCCTATAAGAGTGCTACTGGAAAAGGTACATCGCAAATATATCTTCAACGTCACTGCCCTCAATTGACACTTAACAGGCACAACGTAATACAACTGTAACGTTACATTAGAATAACATGTCCTGCCATATATCAATACATACCTCATAAGGTGATTGTTCCCTTCTCAACAGGTGACCACGTTCTTGAGCATGATGAGATTGTGGCATTGGAGAAGTACGCAGACTCTCACACATAAGGTAAATAGGTATTTTGTGTCATAGATATTGATGGTTTATCGACTGTGCAATTTAAGAAAAAGAACAAATAGTTCCTCAACCAGCTGATGTGTTTGCAAAATTAATGAATATGTTCGAAATTTGCCTTTATCTAATAACTAGTATGCATTGCGACTGATAACTACCTACATTTGCAAGTATTACGAGATGGTGTGTGTCTATATACATATACTTATAACTGTTTCTGTGTGCTCATACTGATGATGTTGCAATCTTACTTTAATAGTGGAAGTGGACAGACAGCGAAATCTATCCGATTACCTGGACTACTTCAATGAGATAAACTGTTTGCAATCGAGTTGTGCTTGGTTGATTTCTGTTAAGAATTAAACGTTTGAAGATGTCAGCGTCAATTGAGTGTATTGATATCCTTATATAATTCCTTACCCCGGACGGCGGGGTAGCCTAGTGGTTAAAGCGTTCGCTCGTCACGCCGAAGACCCGGGTTCGATTCCCTACATGGGTACAATGCGTGCAGCCCATTCCTGGTGTCCCCGCCGTGATATTGCTGGAATATTGCTAAAAGCGGCGTAAAACCAAACTCACTCACTCTCTCCTCACCCCGTGACTACAACGATCCACTGGATCAATGCTGACAATCAGCCCACCACCGAGTCAGACAACCGAGGGACTCCAAAATTAATGAGAACGATGAAATGAATATTTGCTCAAAACTGGAAATTATCTGGTGAATTTTTCCAGTGATGGGGATAAACAAACAGCTGACATTGTTGGGTATGGGGTATTCATTGACATTTAATAGACTACTCCCTGTCTATTTAGTGCGACAAACGACTTCAACCATTACGGCAATAAATACTCAAACATTTGGGAAACATAGTCAACATTAAAAAAAATATATCAAGCATTTGAAAAACTGTTAAAACCAATTAAACATTTTGAAACATTCAACTACGAGTTCTTTCAGTATGGACCGATTACCAAAACATACTTGTTACGGATGACAGAGCTGCTGAATTCATCGAGGAATTGCTGTGTCTCTGTATGAGCTATTAAACTGTGTACCATTGTAATTGGCGAGAAGCATAATATATGTCCTAGCTACAAATGCAGTCAGAGAGCAATGCTAGTCTGCTTTGAAACTATATCTTAAAAAATGGCTGCTACTCAACAATTTACAATTTATAGAAAGACAATCAAATATGTTCTACAATTATGTTCGACATGTGCTGTTTACCGCCGCGCTTACCAATATCCAAGCAATATGGCAGCGGTCTGTAAATAACTGAGTCTGGACCAGACAAGCCAGTGAACGACAGCATGAGGATCGATCTTGGCAATTATAATACCATGACGTGTGTCAACCAAGTCAGCGAGCCTGACCACCCGACCCCGCTAGTCGCCCTTTACGACAAGCATGGGTTACTGAAGATCAATTCTAACCCTGATCTTCACGAGTTGTACGAACTAAGGACCTAGGCTGAACCGCATGAATAATAACCAAAACATTACCGTCCAGGGTTCCATTCCACTAAACGATCTTAGCCCTACGCCAATTGTAAACCTCTAAAGTCCCTATCTTAGCGTGACGTTACGATCGGCTTACCGTTCCACTAACCAGTCTTACTCAAATCAATCGTAAAGTTAAGATCCAAAGTCTATGTTGCTCATGACCAAATTAGGATCGCTAAAATCAATCGTAGAGAAACCAAAACCATTATTCTATGTGAAGAAGAAGAGCGAACATTACACAGTGAGCGTGTATTTCGAGAGCGCTCACAGATTCTAGATACATTATTAGAAGGGAGTGATGGTGGAGCCCTTTGTCAACCAGAATTGATATTTGCCCAGGAGAAAAATTGTTCTTTCTCGCTCGAGGTTTCTTCTCCACGTTTACACATAGTTCCAGAACTACTTCCATCGCCTGCTAGACAATGCAAAGGAGATCGTAGCTGTGCCGGAAGTATACAAAACTAGCTCGTCAGCGCTTGACTTCACTACCTCCGGCGATCTGATTGGCTAACACATTACACTGAATGAATGTGTTTCTTTAAAAAATATTTGTACTCGTTTTTAAAATTATTCTTACCAAGAACAAATATCAGATTTTCGCACGTGCATTTGTTGTCATTTTATTAACCAATTTGATTGCGCTGACGACCTAGTTTTGTACACTTCCGGCACAGCAACTCGGTCTTTGGCGATTTAATAAAACCCATCAAATGCATCCCCACGGAAAGTGCATGTATATGCCTCCTACATACATCGGAGATATGGACAAAAGCTGTTGATACTTGTGAGACCTTTAAAATACGATATATTCATTGACATGTGTGTAATTGTCCGGTTTTCGATCAGTCACCGTATTTCTGTGATGAACCTTTATGTGTTATATAGTAGGGGGTGTTGATACTAAACCGGGGCCTAGTTTATCGATTTTCTGACCCGCAGTGGGGGCCTGTGGTCGGTTATTGGAACGGGCGTAACGTTTAGCTAAGACGATTGAAAAATTAGCGTAACTTGCTAAGACTGATCTTAGATAAGATCGATAAGTGGAACGGCACCCAGCTTCTTAAGTATAACAATTTCATATATAGTGCAGAGCCATTAGCATTTTTGAGAATATTGTCCCAGCACAAAGGCATTTAAAATATTGCGAGAGACGAACTAATTGGGTAGTTTCCACTGCTTACACATAATAAAACTTTCACCGATCAATATTTTGACAAGATGGCCATATAGACACAATCACCACAATCGTGAAGTTATGACGCTGAAACACTTCCATGTTAACACGGTTAACTGATTGTAGAAGATGTGTCTGTCATATCAGCAGCGCATCAGTTTACGAGGAACGACAGATGGTACAGTTCATATCGTTATTCATCAAACACCGTCTACTTTTGCCATCATGCCACGTAGATTTACAATTTATGGGGATCACACACCAACGATTTTTGACAATACTATGCGCCCTTCTTGGAAAGACGTTCATATTGAACTCGTCACGTTCTCGGGATCAGATAGTTTTCACTGTGGCACATTTAAGTTTTTGTTATGTTTACATATGGCATATATAGTATATATGTATAGTTTTTATGTAATTAATACCCTAATAATAATATCTTTATTAAGTCATAATTACAGTATGGCCTGCTTCTGACCAGTAGAGCCCTGAAGATCCGGGTGAGAATTGATCTTCAGCAACCCATGCTTGTCGTAACAGGCGACTATCGGGTTCGGGTAGTCAGGCTGACTTGGTGGTCTTTGTATCCCAGCTGCGGAGATCGATGCTCATGAAGTTGCCCTCTGGATTGTCTGGTCGAGGCTCGATTATTTACAGCCCGCCGTTATAAGCTGGAATATTACCGTGTGCGGCGTTAAAGAACAAACAAACAAGGAAAACAAATAACACTATTAATAACCATGAGTGTGGGGGATATTAAAAATAACACACACTATTGATAACCATATGTGTGGGGATATTAAAAATAACACTATTAATAACCATGAATGAGGGGATATTAAAAATAACACTATTAATAACCATGAGTGAGGGGATATTAAAAATAACACTATTAATAACCATGAGTGAGGGGATATTAAAAATAACACTATAATATAACCATGAATGAGGGGATATTAAAAATAACACTATTAATAACCATGGGTGAGGGGATATTAAAAATAACACTATTAATAACCATGGGTGAGGAGATATCAAACGTCGCCTCTGCATGACCAAAGCCAGTCTTTTTCAGGGAACAGCTGGAATATTGCAGCATTAAACAACATACAAACCAAACTGACCAGTGATTTGCTGATGAGTAACGTTGAATCTGAGGAAAAGCAGTCGTCAATTCTAGGTCACCAAAGAATATTTAGTGAACGACTGCATTTTACTTTAGGGCGGTTACCTCGTCAGGTGCCACAATCAACGGATAGGTGAAGGTATTTCAACGTTAGTGAGAGTTGGATGATAAACCCACCATCAGCACCGAAAAACTAGAAAAACTGATGCCTCGCACAACCTGGTCACATACGGTGTCCACAGTCTTACTTGAGGTTGGTGCCTCAATGGTTCCTGTAGTGCTCATCGATGAAATAATTGTGGTGTGCCCTTTATACCTTGCGCATGTTGATCAGATACAGTCGCAACTCAAATTATTATTTTATTTTGAGCCTGCACACTAGTTGTTATACTGTTATACTAACATTTGTATAGCGCCAATATCCTGTTCAGCTGCACGAAGGCGTTTGATTTTCCCTCGATCATTGGATGTCAAACTCAAACGGCACATCGTATTATCAATCTCAACTCCCTGGGGATCATACAACTGTTGCAGCCACTCGTCGCACCGAGTTAATGTGGCTTTCCCATCCTTACGAGGTACCCGTTCACAGCTGGGTGGACTGGGATATATAGTCACAGTACTTTGTCCAAGTTTCACAGCACGTTGTTGTACCCGCAACTAGGTGTTTGCACGTATTCATATAGCCACCATCTGGTCATATACCCCAGGGTTGGGTACTGTACACTAGAGGTTGTGACAACACCGAAAGAGTCTGCACACAAATTTGAATGCAAGGTTTTGCACCCAGTAACAGGTGGGCTCGATCCCTGCACCTCAAGCTCGCTGGATCCGATCTCACCAAACCTTGAACCAGTTTGTTCGTAAAGAAACTTACAAACCGATAATTTATCATGATAAAAGAGCAGTGAATGGTGAATCGTATGCCAACATATTGAAATGATTCTGTTAACAAATATGACAGGCGTGGTAGCCTAGTTAATAAAACGTACATTCGTCATGCTGAAGACCCAAATTCGATGAGTATGATGCGTGAAGACCATTTCTGGTGTCCCCAGCCGTGATATTGCTGGAACAGTGTTTAACGAGGCACAAAACCATAATATTCATTCACATCTGTAGAAGATTTTGCTTCACCCGTTAATTTGATGGTCTCCTCCACTTGGGATATCAGAGCCAGGTCTCACTGGTCATATTGGCGTAAGTGGCACCATCATCATCATCATCAAAAGCTTAATTACGTATGAAGGCCACAGGCCCATATACATATTAATATCCATATTGTAAACAGGTATGAAAAGAGAAAACAATTTCTTAATTTTTTTTAGCTTTTACCTGTCTACCTGCGTAGATTATCTTACACCCCCTCTGAAAAATATCAGTAACATATATTAGTATAAGTGTAACTATACTGGAAATGTTTAGAATTCTAATACCTATTTCTATTTTTCTAACTTTTCTCTTATTTTGTATGCATAATAAATAAAACGATCTAGATAGTTTATGTCTTCAGTTTTGTTTTGTTTAAGGATATTGCTAAACGATATCATATTAACTTGCAAATTCTTAGGTAAAAATCTATCTCGAAGTTCATTACAAGCTGGACATTTCTATTCATCTTCTAAATCTACTATGTGTGTCTGTATAACCGCATTTCTTTGTCTTCAATTACTACCACCGATTTTAAGTAAGTTCAGAACTAAATAAATGTTACCATGGTATGGTTACTGCTCTAAAGACAACGTAAAACACAACTTTGCAGATTCTGATACCTTTTCGGAGTTTTGCAAATTCAACTTTGTTTAAAATATTGCGCGAAACGATATCATATTAACTTGCAAATTCTTAGGTAAAATATCGGTAGGCCTCGAAGTTCAGCTTTTATATGTTATGACAGTAAATAAAGCATTTGGACATTTCGAGTCACATTCTCAATACTTAAAAGCAATATTCATCTTCTAAATCTACTGTGATATAGATATGTCGCTGTCACAGACAAAACTCAATGTCTGTATGAACCGCATTTGCTAATGACAATATTCAATACACAACTGCCTCGAGTTGTCTCTTCAATTACTACCACACGATTTTATGAGATTGCAAAAGTTGAGCAGAACTCAAAATAATAAATGTTACCATGGTATGGTTATCCTGGCTGCTTGTTAAGGAAGATGAGACGCTTATAATTTTGTTTATTTGACCAATGCATGTCATGAAGAAGTGATAATTGTGTTTTAAATTATGTTTGATTTTTTGGTTGCATGTGACCAACGGGGCCAGATAACAGACCGGAGCGGCAGTATTCAACTGCAAGGCGCAAAGACTTAAAATAATTAAGTAATAAAATATTGAATTCAGTTGTGTGTATGCTAGTTTCAAATCATTGTCATAGCACCTCGTCCTATAAATGTAGAAAGAGATAAGGGTCGTTCTGGTAATAAAGATCGGCAAGATACATATATTGCACGATTTTCACTTGGCACACTCGTATGTGAATCTCTGCTTCAGGCTTCAGATTTCAGGTTATAAAGATCTAAAGTGATATGGTTCGACAACATGTGTTCAACTAACATTGAACAAAACCTAGTAAATGTAAATATTGATGATCATGACGACATGGGTAGTAATCCATACACACACTCATAAAGGAATGTTTTGATGATTTAACAACAGGTTGAGTTGTGCCATTGAGCTTTCCTGAGCGTTAGGTTCGAACTGACCACGATTTGAGGGGTTGGGGATGTCTGTTTTCAGTGATTTATGAATGTATATTTTCACACGATTAAAAATTTTCTTTCAGAAGGGACATACCATAGCTGTTCTTTTCTGCTATTTAATTAATTTGTTTCAGATGTCAAATTGGGGAATGCTTGAAAAGAAAAAGAAATAATTGCTCAAGGATATGAAATATCACGACACTGTACATGTCCCCACAATTATATGTTCAGTAGATCACCTTCCGAGATATAACATCACAATTGGACCTCCGCAACCCATGTCTCGTACAAATAATGGATCTGATGGGTAGTCTGAGCGACTGGATTGTTTGCGTGAAAAACGCTCTAAGGAGAAATGAACTTAGATGTACACACGTTTCAATGATGGGCTTCATTTGATCCATCCTTTGTAAAAGATCGACAAGATACAAGAATGACACCGAATTACGTTCGGCCTTTACCGCACCGAGCCTTATTTCCACAATATCCCATATGGGTACATGTGTTAAACCCATTTCTGGTGTCCCCCGCCCTGACATTACTGGAAAGTACGGCTGAAAACCAAACTTACTCATTCAGTATTCCAGCTATGTGACGGCGGCCAGTTATCAACAGCATGAACATCGATTTACGCAATTGGGATACGATGACGTGTGTACCAGGTCAGTGAACCTGAACACCTGATCCCGATAGTCGCCTCTTACGCCAGGCATGAGTTGCTGAAGACCAATTCTAACCCAGAACTTCATTAACTCCTTACTTACGCCCACTTCACATTTTTCATTAGCAGCAAATCAAGGAGTGAGTGAGTGAGTGAGTGAGTGAGTGAGTTAAGATTTAACGTCACATCGGCAATATCGCTGCCATATAGTGACGAGAACAATGTAATTCATAGCAATATAAACAAACCAATAAATTGAGAAAATAAAACCTGTCATCGAAGGTCAGTAAAACTACTAGAATATCACAGCTCTTAATTTAAAACTAGTACGCTATCATAAAAATATATCACTATAGACAACAATACAATATAAAACCGGGC